AGGATTAGTGCCCTTACTGAAAAGGTTGAAAGGAGCTGCCATGCCACCTTCTGCCATGTGAGGATGCAGCAAGAAACTGTCATCTATAAGGAACAGGACCTCATCAGACACAGAATCTACTGTTGCTTTGATCTTGCATTTCTCAGCCTCCAGAACTGAAAAAAATAAATTTTTGTTGTTCATAAATTACCCGATCTAATGTATTTTGTTATAGCAGCCCAAACCGTTTCCAAAATAAAAATAATGTAAAGGGAGAGCAGGATTTGGGGAGTGAAAATGGCTAGTTAAAAAAAAAAATTTTTTTCTTTTTTTTGAGACCAGTCTCAGTCTGTCGCTCAGGCTGGAGTACAGCAGCATGATCACGGCTCACTGGGCTTAAGTGATCCTCCCACTGCAGACTCCCAAGTACCTGTGAACACAGGTGTGGGCTACCATGTGCAGCGAATTTTTGTATTTTTAGTAGAGATGGGGTTTCCCCATGTTTCCCAGGCTGGTCTTGACCTCCTGGGCTCAAGCAATCTGCCCACCTTGGCCTCCCAAAGTGCTGGGAATACAGGTGTGAGTCACTGCACCTGGTCTAAAAATTTTAATAATAAAAATCAATTTTAAAAACACCATAAAGAATGCATAAAAGCATATGTATTTTATTAGTATATATTGCTCTGTATGAGGTGAAACAGAGGGCCTCCTAAGATATACTGGCTCTCCAGATCTTTAAGGTAAAGTATATGCCCATGTATGTATCACCAGTATGTTCTGTGGCCTCGCCATTGGCTAGTGAGCAAAGTGTATCATGTTTACATAGTTCTACAGATTGGCCCCATCTACTTTGTTAACAAGCAGTCTTGCCTTTTCCTGTGTCTCCCTAATCTTGCTAACTTCTGATTCACCAACTGCCATCACTATGCCACCTAGGATTTGCTGTTTGCCTTTTCTTTTTCATTTTTAGATGGGGTTTCACTTTATTACTCAAACTGGAGGGCCGTAGCTCCAACATGGCTCTCTGCAGCCTCAACCTCCCTGCTCAAGCTATCCTCCTGCCTCAGCCTCCCAAGTAGCTGGCACTACAGGTGCATGACACCACACCCAGCTAATTTTTTTACTTTTTTGGTGGAGATGGGGTTTTGCCATTTTGCCCAGGCTAGTCTCAAACTCCTGGACTCAAGCAATCTTCCTACCTCAAGCTCCCATAGTGCTGAAATTATACATGTGAGTCACTGGGTCTGGCCTCATTACCTTTCTTAGGCTCTGTCTTCACATCACATTTTTTTCTGCCTCTCCATTCTTTTATTATTATTTACTTAATAACCTCTGTAAGCACAGAATACGCTTCTCCATTCTTACTGCTACAAATCAGAAACTCATACCTCAACTCCTGCTGGCCTTTTTATCTTCAGTTTTTACCTCCGCTAAATATTCATGTCAGGACCAAGCGTAATGATTCACGCCTGTAATCCCAGCACTTTGGGAGGACGATGTGGGCGGATCACCTGAGGTTGGGATTTTGAGACCAGCCTGGCCAACATGGTGAAACCTCGTCTCTACTAAAAATACAAAAATTAGCCAGGCGTGGTGGTGCATGGCTGTAATCTCAGCTACTTGGGAGGCGGAGGCAGGAGAATCGCTTGAACCCAGGAGGCAGAGGTTGCAGTGAGCCGAGATCCGCACCACTGCACTCCAGCCTGGGTGAAAAAAATGAGACTCCATCTCAAAAACAAAAACAAAAACAAAAACAACCAAGCATTAATGTCAGGTTATTTTCCTAAAGTGTATTTGCACTTCTTTTCAAGCACTGATTTAAGTCTTACCTTTTTTGTAAAACCTTCTAAGATTCAAACTCATATCCATCTTTCCCTTCCTTAAGCACTTAAAATGTGCACAGCTGCATCTGTCCAATCATAAAAAACGGCAGTGAACAAAACACCGTACTGGAATAAGCTTTGAGACTTAAAAAAAAAAGAAAAAAAAAAAGGAAAAAAAGGGTTCTTTATGGTATACCTTATGTCCTTGAATAATAGTGTGTACTTACTATATATCAGGCTCTTCAAGTATTGCTTTTAGTTCCTCAACAATTAGATGTAGTTTTGTGTAGTTTTCCCCATTTTACAGATGGGGAAACAAGGCACAGAAAGTTAAGTTGCTCAAAGTCACACAAATAAAAATTCAGGCAGTTCTTGAGTCAGTGTTCTTAATAATGATCCTAAACTGCTTCTCAATTAACAAATCATTTATATTTGATTTTTTCTGTCCCTTAAGTAATGGAGTTAAATCTACCTGTCTTTATTACCCTAAATGAAAGACATAAGTAAAGCACTTTGTAATGCATAGTGTTAAATGGAGACTATTAATAACCTTTATTTGTAATTTGCAATATTCATTTTTTTATGCAATAATTATTTCATTTTTATACGTAAAGGTCTGTAATTATTCAGGAATTTCCTTGTAAGTAGAGACGCACGATCTACTTATGTCCTTTTCTGCCTAGGAGAACTCTGGTTAGATCTATTCAATATATATTACTGATTGGTTAACACCCTTGAAACTTGCAGGGAAGTAAAGCATAAACACATATAAGGAAATAAAAGTTCCCATAAGGTTAAAAATATTATTTTATTTTAAAAATTTTATTTAAAAAATTGTGATAGTTTTCCATAAACTATTCAGAGAAGGGCAAATTCAGTTTCCTCAGATTCTACCAGAAGTCTGATCCTTTAGGTTAATGTTTTCTGCTCAAGATTTAGATTCAGAAGTAATGGAATAAAATTATCTATTACAAGCATACTTTGGTTGATACTTTATCTGTGATATGTCACTTAAATAAGCGTTACTTTGAGAGATTTGGACTTAAGGGGCAAGTTTCACCGTTAACTCTTAATTTTTTAGTAGTCAGATGTTTATATGTACCAGTTTTCCCTTGTTGGAGCTTTAACGTAATTCTCCTTTATGAGATGCTAAGCTCTCTACATTCACGTACTCCCAAGGGTGCACAGCTAATATAGATAAATCATACATGTAATGTTTGCATCCAGATGTAATTCATTTTTTGTCTTAATAACTGGACTTTTATCTATCCAGAGGCTTTCTCGTTACATCTGTGATCCTTATAGACTACAAAAAACAGCAGTTTTAAGACACATGCAAAAAAGTTTCCAGCCAGAGATTTTGTGATGCTCCATAAACACTGTACATCTGTTATTTATCTGGCATATTACTTTAATGACAACTACACAAGGCCATAGACTTACAATGTATTTATGATGCAAGTAGTTTCGTAAGCTACCATATGTTAAACATTTTCAAAACAAAAGCACACTCTAAGTGATGAAAAGCTGTAGGGAGTATTTATTTTTTTACTTTTATTTTTTATTTTTATTTTATTGAGATGGAGCATCGCTCTGTCGCCCAGGCTGGAGGGCCGTGGCACGATCTCCGCTCACCGCAACCTTCGCCTCCCAGGTTCTAGTGGTTCTCCTTCCTCAGCCTCCCTAGTAGCTGCGACTACAGGCACCCGCCACCACGCCGGCTAGTTTTTGTATTTCAGTAGAGACAGGGTTTCACCATGTTGGCCAGGATGGTGTTGATCTCTTGACCAAGTGATCCGCCCGCCTCGGCCTCCCAAAGTGCTAGGATTACAGGTATGAGTCACTGCACCCGGCTTTATTTTTATAACATCACACAGAGGTTAGTTTTTATGTTTTTGTTTTTGAGATGGAGTTTCGCTTTTGTCGCCCAGGCTGCAGTGCAATGGCGTGATCTCAGTTCACTGTAACCACCGCCTCCCAGGTTCAAGAGATTCTCCTGCCTCAGCTTCCAGAGTAGCTGGGATTACAGGCACACACCAACACTCCCAGCAATTTTTTTGTTTTAAATAAAACTCCTAACATCTCGTTAATCATTAATTAGTCTTTGGGTTTTGATTCAACTCCTAACATTTGCAAATCACACAATTATCTTTGTTCTTTCATTTGTGGAAGACACTTTCATTTGTTACCCTGAGAATATGAGACATTCACAATCTAATTCCTGACTACATTTGATTTCAAACAGATCGGAATAACTTCCAGAATATAAAATATTAACTATTTGGGAGTCATCTTGTAGGTATCTTGTGGGTATGCTCTAATTAAGAAATGCTTCCTCTTCCCAGGAAAACTGCTGACATTGCAAGAGTTATTCCAAAACCACAATTCTTAAGAAAATACATGTTTAACCTAAATCATAAAGATATTTTGTAAAAAAGGGAAATCGCTCCTGCTGATGTTTTGTGTATAAATCTCTTTCTAAATTCAAGCTCTCTCAAGTTAGGGCACCACAGTAAATAAAGTGGGAACAGTATCACAGGAAATATCTGAAATGATACCTATGGCACTATAAGGAAACTGAGGCCCACAAGAATTGAAGTGACCTGTGCAATTACACCAATATGTTAGCACAGCCAAGATTAGAACCAAGTTTGGTGCCTTCCTGCATCAGTCCTTTCTTGGTGCTGCAGGAGCCTTTTACTTATTAATTTCACCCTGGAGAATTCTGGTAGACCATCCCGGAGTGGTAGAAGCGTGAACATTCGTTTTCTAAGGGATGGTCACACGCCTTTGTCTATTTGCATTTAGTTTCTTTAAAAAGTAAAAACACCTCCATTTTGGACCACTTTTAGAGACAAAAGCAGAACATACGAACGTGCATTTCATTGTTGAGTTCTTAAGACGCTTACACCGTGTGGTTATAACGTGCGCAACTTTGTCCCGGCCAACTGGACTTATTTTTAGTGTTATTTTCGGCTACTGCTGCAGAAAACTAGGGATTCAACTACCCGCACCTGCATTTCACACAACAGCGCTCGTCTACTCTCCTCCTTCACTCCTAATAAAAAACGCCTTATCCTGTTTCTTCCTGCCTGTTCTACCTCAACATTTTCACTTATTATCTTCCACCACACTGGCTTTTACTCGGATTGGAAACCCACTCTCCCCCAACTTCTCTCGTACCCCACCTTCATGAAGCGTCCTCCTTTTTTCCGCCTCTCGTTCCCTTTGTCTTACACGGCTTCCGGAACACGGCCCAGAATTACAGCGAAAACACACTGCGCACGCGCACTCTCTCGTCAGAGCGGCGCTGCTTCTGTTTGGTTGGCTAGTTCGTCCCAATTTCCGAGTCAAAGGGCTGCGGAGCAGCAACTCTCACGATATTTGCTGCGGCCCGCAGACGCGAGCCGCTGCCGGGTTCTGGCGCGCCCTTTCAGTTCTGCTTGTGGCCGGCACCACTGCGTTATCCGGAACTGCCGGTCCGAGCAGCATGACGTCCGCCTTGGAGAACTACATCAACCGTATCCTCAAGCTGGCCGCCGCGGGCGTGAGCCGGGGCCGCGGAGAGGCCGCCGCTCGGGGATCGGTGGGAGGTTGGGAGGCCCGGCCGCGGCGGGATCCTAGGGGCGGGCGAGGAGATGAGGACCCCGGAATGACCCAGAGTTCGGCGACGGCGCCTAGAGCCTGCCAGCTGCTGCGGGCCCAGGGGTCCTTTCCATTTCGTCTGCAAAAGCCAAATAAAAACCCAGTGTGATTTTTCCGAACTTTTCTGTCTTAAAAAAAATTATGCTCTTGATTCTTCCTTACTATTTCCCTAGGGCATAAGTGTTCAAGTTTGTAAATAAGATGAACAGTCGTCCTGGCTGCGACAACAGTTTTGCAAATCTGTGTACTTGTTTTATTCACATAATATGCTCATTAGTTCGAGGATAGCAGAAAGTTTAACGATGGTTCACAGACTGTTTCTGTCCCTTTACCACTTGAAGTCCCTACCTGGTGGTGGAATGAAAAAAATGCTTGCTGTTGTAATGGATTATAGTGAGGAGCAAGTAACAACCCCACGGGAAGTCTTAATTAAGACTTTACAAGTGTTACGGTTTTAAAGTCTCAGAACAAAAACACTATGTTAAGTTCAGGTACAAACTGGGTGACAAAAATTAAATACCGAATGCTTTTAATGTTACAGGCATTGTTAGTACCTTGTGACACTGATTATATAGTTTATTTACTTTTGAATTTCAGAAGCCTGCCCCGGAAGACAATTTTTTAACATGCTTGAAAATCGTCCAACATCGATTAATTTAGTACTCATCCAGTTTTCATTTTAGATATAAACAGGCCCAAGAAACGAAATATCCTGCCCGAAATAATAGATTGGCAGCATTCCTAGTAGAAAAGTGTCAAAAATCCAGGATATTTTGAGATAGGATACACCGATCACATACAGAAAGAGATTTTCTTTTTCTACTTTTTCCTTTTTTTAGTCATGTAATTATCACAAAACTAAAACAAGCTTTTTAAAAATTTTTTTTCTTTCTTTTTTTGAGTCGAGGGTCTCACTGTGTTGCGCAGGCTGGAGTGCAGTGGCTTGATCATGGCTCAATGCAACCTTGAACTCCTGAGCTCAAGCTCTCCTCCTGCCTCTGCCTCTGTCTCCTGAGTAGCTGGGACTATAGGTCACCAGGCCAGGGTAGTAGAGATGGGGGGGTCTCACTGTGTTTCCCAAGCTAGTCTCACCTCAAGTGATCCTCCTGCCTTGGCGTCCCAAAATCTTTCAACGTTTTTATGTAGTGAACTTAGTGGCTGTGTTGAACACTTTTACCTAATTGTCATATTTGTTCTAATAATTAAAATCATTACCTTGCCAGAGTCTGTTTTCAATTTGCATTCCCTAAGAAACACTTTCCTTTATTCAGTTATCAGGAACTGTTGCCGTTATTACATCTGATGGGAGAATGATTGTGGTAAGTCTTCGGAATTTTCATTCTCTGCTTTCCTGTAGGTTTATTGGTTGCAAGTTTTATGTGAAACCTCTGATCTCTAATGTCTAGACAGCACATTACACCTGTAGTGCAGTTTTATTATAATTCAGCTCTTTATCACTTTGCTGTCAATCCACGTTTTCCTCACGAATAAACGTGGCGTGTTACCTACAGGCTTCTAGGAGCTAGAGTTATAGGTTCTGCCCTCAGAGAGCTCCTAGTCTGCAGACCTTCATTAAACTTACTTTTCTTCTTCCATTTTTATTTCCTTACTCATTCGGCACCACATGAATGAGAATTTTTTGAAATTTTGCATATGCTTAGTAACTTTTTAATGATTTAGATACTATTAATACCTACATATCAACATTTAAGGCTTGTATACAATCTTAACATTCTTTGTTTTTAGGTTGTGTGACGTGTCTTCTGTAGGACACATTTTGATGATTCTCTCTATATACACATATTTACGTAAAATTGGCTTGTTCCTTGAAGTTGTTTCTCCCTTGCTAATTTATGTCATATAACAAAGATAAAACGTTCCTATGGTGATACTTGTATTTGGAATTTGATCTGAGGAATTCATCTCAAGATTTTTGGGTACTTGATTATTTCTTCACTTATAATTCATACTCCGAATGCTTTCAAAAGAATTTTAAGGCTACTAAACTTTATTTTCTAACCTTACCTAGTTTCTTCAAATAATTTGATCCCTTATTTTTCCATTCTGCAGTTTGGCTTTCGTTTGTTTTCTTTTTAAGCCTTGTGATTTTTTTTTTTCCCACTGGGTTCTTAGTGACTATTGTTAGTCAAAGTTCTAGCTTTGCCATTTACTAAATTTATATCGTGTGCCAGGTGCATATGTGTTACATTAATTAATATACATACAACCTTGTGAAGAATAAGTACCCCTGTATTCTAGATTAGGAAACAAGTTCAGAGAAGGTGACTCACTTTCTCAGAGTCACAAGGGTAGCAGGTGACAGAACCAAACTGGGATTTAAATTTGTTTTGACTTCAAAGCCAAGGCCAGTTGCCTGGCTTCTTTCTTAAGGAAGAAATCATGTTTTCTTAGGCACTTCACATTGTATTTTTTCAAATGTGGACAGTTTGACATATTTTAATCTCAACACTTCAAGAAGCCTATTGCTATTAATAGATGTTTGCATTATTTTTTATTTAGTGAAAACCTTCCGTTTAAATTTTCTTATTTTTGTTAACAGGATAGATAATAAACTGGGAAATTATTTTTAATTTTAAAGAAGAAGGAAAGCGATATAAAAAGAGCATCTTAAGTTCTGAAGTTCAATAGTTCTGCATTTCTTTGACACATAATTTATTTGATGGGATAGTTAATGGGTAAAATGAAGCCAATAAGTTATGAATGGGTGTTTATGATAACAACCATTTGCTAACTAGTTCAATAAATACTCCATATTTTGTTTCTCTTCCAAGTTGTAGATTTCTTTTTATTTAATTCTCATTTTATATATTTTGACTTTCAGAGGATAAAACAGTTTAAGAGCTTGAGAGATTTAACCATCAAAACCAATGTTAGTTGATATTTCTTCAGAAACTTGAATACTACCTGAGTTACTCTGTTATGCTAGACCCATGTCTTCTTTTATTCAATTCTAAACTTTCATAAAACTCTCCCTGATTATTTCCTTCAAGTTCTGGTTCTAATTAGTATAGTCACATTTGTATCTACCTTACTAGGAGAGTTCAATAATACATCCATTTGATACACATTAAACAATACATGTGAGACAGACGGAACACCGGTAACTAGTAAGTACTCGTTAGGTGTTATATGTAACTACTAAATTTTTAAAATATTTATGGGACTGATTTGAATCTCTGAAAAATGGCAAATTATATTTACTTGTGTATAATAGTACAGAATGTTACGGTTTAGTGGTCTGGCTCAGGAGCTAGCCTTTTGTGGTTCATCTTCTGGCTCTGCCACTTACTACCCATGTGCCCATAAGACACACCACTCTGTACCTCAGTTTCTTCTTTGAAATGGGGCTAATTATAGTATTAAAGGGTAGAGATGAGTTGAGACAATGTGTACGATGTGTTTAGCACACTGCTTAGTGCTGGTATGTAGCATATAGTGATACTATTACATTGCTGTCGTTGGTATGTATGGTTCTTCCTTATTTATGTATATTTGCCCATCAGTTTCCCTTAAATCTCCTTTGTTTTAGTTTATACCTTTAGCTGCTGGTCTTCGTAAGCTTTTATGCTAGTTACTTTTTGGAGATACTCAAATTAGTACATAGTTGTCGTTTCTAACTGCCGTCAACTCTGCATATGAGTGAGATGTGTGGTGCAGGGCCCCACCCCAGCCAAACAACCAAGAGGTAGATTGTGTAGCCTCGAATACTGTTGGTTATACAAAAGGTATTTTATTTGACATTGTATTGTTACTTGTATTGGAATACCTGGCAACTAGAATGATTGTGAGGTTGAATTTACACTTTCAGGTAAACCAGAATATTTCTCTTTTTCTCCTGAATATTTTCTTTACAGGGAACACTGAAAGGTTTTGACCAGACCATTAATTTGATTTTGGATGAAAGCCATGAGCGAGTATTCAGCTCTTCACAGGGGGTAGAGCAAGTGGTACTAGGATTATACATTGTAAGAGGTGACAATGTGTAAGTAAAATATATCTGTTAAAATTATAAATGATACTGCCTTACTTTATGGAGAAGAGGTTTTCCCCAAAATACCCTATTGTATTATCCATACCTAATTAATAGAATCTTGCATTCATTTCTTTCGTAAATACAGCGTTTCTTATATTTGCATAAAGTAAGGCATAGCTATACATTTTATGTCAACACTTTGTTTCAACCAAAGCTTTCTCTCTACAAATTAAACTTTTACCTGAGATTTGCCCATTTTTCTACTAGTTAAGTAGCCTGGGTAGAGTCCAGAAAGGGCCCTGCCTTATATTAAATACTTCATTAGAGAGGCTTCTTAAAATGTTCTTAGAAATACCCAGAATTTTAGAGGAACATATTTCTAGAGTACAAGGCCAAAGTTTGAAAAATGGTTTTGAAATCTCTCATTTGAACAATACTAATTCATGCTCAATAACATAGATGTATTTGTAAATAAGTACTTGTTATTCATTTTCTTTTAATTTTTTAGTATCATTGACACACTTAAGATGTCCCTGTGGCCTCAGTTTACTTGGGACAGACAGATATAAAAGTTTAAGAGTAATTGGCCAGGCGTGGTGTCTGTAATCTCAGCACTTTGGGAGTCTGAGGCAAGTGGATCAGGTCAGGAGTTCAAGACCAGCCTCGCCAACATGGCAAAACCCTGTCTCTACTAAAAATACAAAAATTAGCCAGGCTTGGTGGCGTGTGCCTGTAGTTCCAGCTTCTCGGGAGGCTGAGGTGGGAGAATCACTTGAACCCAGGAGGTGGAGGTTGCCGTGAGCCGAGATCATGCCACTGCACTCCAGCCTGGGCAAAAAGAGTGAAACTCCATCTTGAAAAAAAAAAAAGTGGCTCATGTGACAGAGGAACTGAATTTTAAATTTTATTTAATTGTAATTAATTTTAATAGTTACATGTGGCCAGTGTTAGAATAGTTATAGAGGCTAGAAGAATGCCAAATGAATTTTCTAGTGAGTACTACACTGAATCAAAATATAGTTGGAAAGAAGCAAAAGATGCATTAGCAATTTTAAGCTAAGATACATTAAGCTAGATACATTAACACATTCTAGGGGACTAACTGTCCCCTGGAATAACTTAAAATAAAAAGTGCAGGAATAATTTACTCATTTAAGTTAGCATCACCATTAGATGAATAAATAATTTGATCTGTAATCAAAAATCAAGAGTTTATAAAATATATTATAGAGATGACTTTTAGATGGACTTACAAGGTGAGCTATAAGTAATGAGAGAGAGGCAGAGCAGATAGGGCCCAGGTCTCTGGATCAGAACAACACTATATAGCTGTGCATAATAATTGATTTTAAGGTTTCTCCTACTTAAAACAATTTTTTTTCTTGAACTTCAGTGAAAAAAATGGTGCGCCAGAGCCAGCTTGTACTGGCTCATGAAAGCAGATTGTTATATTTTAAGGAATTTTACAAGGTAGTTAATTGATGTCTTGTTAGTAGCTTGAAATTGGCCGTGGTAGGAGTGTTTGCATAAGGGATATTAGTAAATGCTGCAAATCAGGCTACCACTTTTTTTCCAGAGAGCTGTTTTTTAAACATTTATCAGCATTTCACTGCTTACCATAGGGATTTTAAATGATACTAAATATTTAAGAGTGGAATTGGGGCCTTTAGTTTATTTTGAGAAAACTTAATTTATTCTACCAGAGTTTGATATTTTTCATTTATTAGAGGACTTAAGACTTTATATACTTTAAAGCAAAATTGGGCAAATCCCTTATTATTAGTATTCGTCTTGAGAATTTGGCCGGGCACAGTGGCTCCCACCTGTAGTCTCAGCACTTTGAGAGGCTGAGGCTGGCGAATTACCGGAGGTCAGGAGTTGGAGACCTGCCTAGCCAACATGGTGAAACCCTGTCTCTACTAAAAACACAAAAATTAGCTGGGTGTGGTGGCGGGCGCCTGTAATCCCAGCTGCTCGGGAGACTGAAGCATGAGAATCCCTTGAACCTGGAAAGCGGAGGTTTTGGAGTGAGTCAAGATCATGCCACTGCACTCCAGCCTGTGCGACCAGCAAAACTCTATCTCAAAAAAAGAAAAAAAATAAATAAAATTTACTCTCAATAAAACCAAACAAATGTAAACCCAACAAATACTTTTTAAAAATAATATTTCATAGTCATCTTGTGGTCTGAGTGATAACATTGAATATTTCCTGTTAGAGGGCTATGGGTTGGTTATCTAGCATGGTAGTAATGAATTTAAAGTTATAGATATTATGTTAGTGTTGAACAAGAAAAAATTTTCTAGCTTTAACCTGAGCCAATCACATCAAAAATGATTTGTTAGATACCAAAGTACTTGGTCCTACTATTATTTTTGTATATGAAGAACTGGCTTTGCATTTAACTGAAAACTTAGGAAAACAGTCTAATAACTATTATCTATATCATTGATTTAATTCATCAAAGTTACTCAAATAATTGATACTTTTACTTGCTAATTATTTTAGGAGTGATTTTGTGAAATTTATTATTAATACAGTCCTAGAATTGAATGGAAATAATACGATTTGCAAGTTTGAGAGTTTTTTACCGTATCTGTCCCTGTGTGTCTGTTTCCTTTAAAGATTCATGATACAATCACTATGTACAATGTGTCCTTTAATATTGGTTCCTGTAATGTGCCTTCAAATTATTTCTTGAGTTTTGTGATTTAAATATGCAGTTCACTGACTCATGCCAATGTTGTTTGCTTTTTACCTCAATTAGTTCTTTTTACTATGCTTTCTCAGTTTTATGTTTTGGAATAATGGTACTCAGTGCTTTGATTTGATTAAAAGATTTTTGAAACACATGTAAATTTATTTCAGAAATGTGATTGTTTTAACTCTGACTTTTTTAGTGCAGTCATTGGAGAAATTGATGAAGAAACAGATTCTGCGCTTGATTTGGGGAATATTCGTGCAGAGCCTTTAAATTCTGTAGCACACTGAGGAAAAACTACATATTTGGACATCTGTAAATCTTTGTACAGAAACTGATTATTCTGAGGATGATATATGGAATTTTTATGAATGTGTAACTGGATTTTGACTCCTTGTTGATTCATTGTAATATGTAAATTAAAATATTTCTACATTTTATTGAAAAAAAACTTTTTTTTTTTTTTAACCTAAATGTAAGTTTGGTAGCTCGGTTTGTTTTTTTTAATTAAATAGTGTGAAAATATAATGGTCATTTTGAAAACTTTTAGCAAAAAGTAGTATTTATGGAAACTAGTGGCAAAGAGAAATTAGTGTGC